TGCTTTTTCTCTTTTTTATTTTCTGTGAGTAAGGTAATCACCTTAAGTTTTTATTACTTCATTGAAGTCAAAAAACGATTTAGAGAATCCTGCTGATTTAGCTTCCAATTTATTTGGATAATTAATTGCATTTTAGTTAACAATTGACTTTATGCATAATCGAATCTACCCAAGAACAGCAACCTTATCAATGATGATGAATGAGAGGCTCCTGCTGTCATCTATGCGTAAACATTTTTGGCAAGATTATTTGTAAATGTTAATAATTAGGATCTCAGATGATCAAAACATATATTACAACAAGAAACTTCCAAAGCCAATGTTCCTCACATGATGCCGGTATGATGTTCCTGGCTGTCTGGGGTTGAATCCTTCTGGGGAGAGGAGTTTTCAGTTGCATATTGGCTTGGGACACATTCAAGTGTGTTTGTGTATATATATATATATATATATACATATATATATATATATATATATATATATATATATATATATATATATATATATATATATATATATATATATATATATATATATATATATATATATATATATATATACATATATATATATATATATATATATATATATATATATATATATATATATATATATATATATATATATATATCATATAACCCTCCAGGAGTTGTCGTGCCTTGTCTCCAACATCAAATAAGTCCCCACCTCAGTAACACAACGTTCATAGAGGCTTGACGACGTGAGCCGACAAGGCGGAAGTTTATTAGCTCTATAGCTCGTTCCTTAATTGGTGTAAAACGTTACTTTTCTTTGGTATTAAGATTTGTATATTTTAAGCCATACATAACGGAAATTGTATTTGTATGATCATATAAGAAGTCTTTAATACATGTGCATACTTTGCGTGATCGCTTGGGCATACGTTGCTATTTAAGACACGTTTTCCAACGTGAGTATATGTACTTGTGTAATTAGCTAGGTATAATTACCTAATTGTAGTTACAGGATAAGAGTTACGTTCGTAGTGTCTCGTCTTCCCAGAACTCTCTGTTATACAACGCTGTGAAATAATAGTACAATATGTGTGTGTGCGTGTACTCAGCTAGTTGTGCTCCCCCCCCCCCCCCGGCAAGCACAACTTGGTGAGTTGATCTCGATCTTTGGTCCCGCCTTTCAACTGTCAATTAACTGGTGTACAGGATCCTAAGCCTATTGGGCTCAATGAAATCTACATTTTAAACTGTGTATTGAGTCTGCCTCTTCCACATCACGTCAATTTGCTAACTACCCTGATACTGAAAACGTTCTTTCTAACGTCCCTGTGGCTCATTTGGGTACTAACTGTCCACCTGTGTCCCCTTGTTCGCATACCACTTATGTTTAAATAGTTTATCTTTATCTACCCTGTCAATTCCTCTGAGAATGTTATAGGTAGCGATCATGTCTCCCCTACCTGCTTGATACCTGCTTGATGGGGTTCTGGGAGTTCTTCTACTCCCCAAGCCCGGCCCAAGGCCAGGCTTGACTTGTGAGAGTTTGCTCCACCAGGCTGTTGCTTGGAGCGGCCCGCAAGCCCACATACCCATCACAGCCCGGTTGGTCTGACACTCCTTGAAGAAAACAGTCTAGTTTTCTCTTGAAGATGTCCACGATTGTTTCGGCAACATTTCTGATGCTCGCTGGTAGGACGTTGAACAACCGCGGACCTCTGATGTTTATACAGTGTTCTCTGATTGTGCCTATGACACCTCTACTCTTCACTGGTTCTATTCTGCATTTTCTTCCATATCGTTCACTCCAGTACGTTGTTATTTTACTGTGCAGATTTGGGACCTGTCCCTCCAGTATTTTCCATGTGTATATTATTTGGTATCTCTCTCGTCTCCTTTCTAGTGAGTACATTTGGAGAACTTTGAGACGATCCCAATAATTTAGGTGCTTTATCTCGTCTATGCGTTCCCTAACTCTTATTTTTTCAAGTGTCCAGTTTTTTCAAGGTTTAGTTCCAGTAATCTTTTCTCCTAGCTCATACCCCTCAGCTCTGGGACAGAATGCTTGGTAGCATACCTTTTAACATTTACTAACTTCGTTTTGTGTTTGACAACATATGGACTCCACGCTGGAGCCGCATACTCCAATATTAGTCTGACATATGAGGTTTACAAGGTTCTGAATGAATCCATACGCAAGTTTCTAAAAGCAGTTCTTATGTTTGCCAGCCTTGTATATGCTGCTGAAGATATTCTTTTGATTTGGGCTTCAGGGGACAGGTCTGGCGTGATGTCAATCCCCAGATCAACACTCTCTTCATAGTTCCTGAAGGATTTCATCCCCAAACTGGTACCTTGTGTTTGGCCTCCTGCTCTCTACACCTATCTTCATCATTTTACACTTGCTCGAGTTAAACTCTAATAGCCATTTGTTGGACCATTATTTTAGTCTGTCTAAATCCTCTTGAAGTCTCTTGCTGTCCTTCTCTGTCTTAAACCTTCTCATAACTTTAGTATCATCAGTAAACATTGAGATATCTATATGTGTGTGAGTGTGCATGTGTGTGCGTGTGTGTGCGTGTGCGTGTGTGTGCGTGTGTGTGTGTGTGTGTGTGTGTGTGTGTGTGTGTGTGTGTGTGTGTGTGTGTGTGTGTGTGTGTGTGTGTGTGTGTGTGTGTGTGTGTGTGTGTGTGTGTGTGTGTGTGTTTATTGTTTTACCTAGTTGTAAATACCAATTCTTTTGGTGGGGAAATGAGTTACAGCACTCGGCCCCTTGCAAATCTTTTCAATTGTGTTATTTATTTCACTCAGTTTACGTGGCGTGAAATTATATAGTGCAAGCAAATTTAGAGTTTATAATGGCTCCCATGTTTTCTTAATGCCAAAGCTGCTTGGACAATCAGTCTGTAGGATAGTGGAGCCTTCTCATGGTTCAATGAACGTAAAGCTGAGATATTTGCTGGTATTTTTTGTATGTCCTTTTCTCCAATTCTGTTTACTGGATCACACTTTTAATTTAGATATTGTGTAAACTTAAATTCCTATATATAACTTTAAATAGTATAAGACGACATCTATGAGGATTCCTGAAAACAATGAAGGAAGAAAAGTATAATGTGGGGTATTGACGTCTGAGATCTCAACGATGTCACATTCTCCTTATATGAAAATGTTGTAATGCTTTGTGTTCACACTCATAAAGTTTAATTTACACTAACCCATAACACTTATTGAAGTTGATGCTCTTTTGATCTCTTGTATCTCGAACGTCCAAATAAAGATGTATTTAGTACGAGTAATGGCTTGTCGACGACTAAGGCCTCAACGTCTGATTTGATTGATAAAGATTAAGCCACCTTAAAGGTAGGACGGGCATGAATAGCCCGTAAGTGGAGACTCTTTCGAGTCATTACCAGTACCAATAGCAGGGTCAACGTCTGATGTATCAATGTCTAATGTCCTGGTGTCCGTGTAGTTACTGTCTAAGTTACTGGTATTAGAAACCCCAGTACACGACATCTTTGAAGTCTAAGGTCCCGGAATTTGAGGCTCCGGTATATGACGTCTCGAAGTATAAGACTAATAGCGTTTTAAGATTACGGGTCTAAAACAGGGATCGACACAATCTTTCTGGTCAAAACTCCACCAGAAACAACTTGCAACAACCCACCGACGTAGGCAACTGTTGTGGAGTTGCATTCTGGGGAGGGTCAGTAGTTCGACCTTGCGGAAGGACGCTTCCATACAAGCCCAGCATTATTTAGTTTCCGAAACTGAAATTCTTATCCGGAACTGAACTGAGTTTTCTTATACCACATATGTTAGGAAAGTCATTCTCGAGTGTGCATTGGTGAATTGTAAATATTATTATAGTGTAGCTATTACAAATGATTGACAGATGCTGTTTAATAATGAAAAAATGTAACGTTCTAAAACTTGGAAATTATAAGTTGACAAACCTCAAATGAACAACGAGGAAACTGACAAATCTGAATGCGATAAGGATCGTGAGGTCGTAATTAGTAGGAATTATAAGCGATTAACTCAGTGTATAATGTTCTGTGAAAAGCAAATTTGGGAATCATTTAGAAAAGCGTTAGATGAATTACGACTAATGTTGTTCTTCAGCTTTAGCCGGCTTCATTCACGTCATGCAGCACAGACTTTGTAACCACTCGATAGAATGTTTAGATATTATTTTGATCGTATCCAGAGAAGAATGACGATATTTTTATTGCGATAAAATGAAGGGATTTAATAAGACTTATATCAGATGCTAAAATGTTTAATTTGTAAATAAAACACGAAACAGTAGATGTAAGGTGAATAAGCTTAGAAAAGAGCTTGGTAAAAGTTAAGTGAAAATAGGTCTATGCATTTAAGGAACAGATTGATGGGCGACATAATAGGGAATGAGACACCTGCATTCTTTTATGCGAAGAATTCGCTTATTAAGATACTCATACTAGTGGTTGTGGATGGATGTAAACAGAGGGTGACTCGCATGGGCCAAGAGTCCTTCGGCAGTCGTCACTGTTCTTGTGTTCTCGCACTTCCAGCTCATCGTCAAGTATATTGACAAAAAATATCTGTTTGGACAAACCAGTCAGTGAGTTACCATCGATGGAATAACCAAGTGGTTGTTACTTGAACTATTTTCCCAAACGTTTTGCATTGGTTTACCTATTTTGTGTCCTTTAATGGTGTTGCGTAAAGGTTGATGTTACACGCAAGGCCAAACTTTCACTCTCTATCCTGAACCTGTTTCCTTACGTGAGAATTTTAACTACACACAGTACTTTTACTCTGCACAGAAACAGAGAAATGGCAGTTATTTTATTGTTCTCCCATTTAAATACATAATTACGCAATATAAAACAACAAAAATTAGTTATATACAAAAGTTATATACAAAGAAGAAACGCGTTTAATAGGAGAAATTCTTATTCGTAATTGAGAAATAATAATATTATACTTATTTACTAGACAAATTTTCCAACCACCAAAGGATAATCAAATTTTTAAAACTTTAGTATTTGCAAAGAGTATATTTCATTCTAAAATAAATAGAATAAATACATGTCAACTTCAGGAGTAGTCAAGTAATTGTTGAAGATTTGAAGTTTTTACGAAGCGCCGGAGCTGAAGGAAAGAATCTAATCGGACTCAGCAGAGAGCTCTCCTCGGGCACGAGCAGCGTCTTCCTCAGCAGCGAAGGCGATCTGGTCCAGCACGAACTGGGGGATTGGGTGGGGGAAGGCTGGAGCCACTGGCAGCAGGTCAGACTGGGGCTGGTAGCCGTTCTCGTTGGCGACAAACGTCACATGGACGGGAGTGCCGTCAGGAGCAGTGTAGCTGTTGAAAGACAATTTAAATATGCAAATAAGTCTTTTCCACCATCATTATTTCCTTAAACATCATTGTTTTGTTTATCTTGAAGCAAAATTTATCTCATATGAAGTAAGTAAAAAGCCGACACTCACGAATAGCTTCCAGACTTGACGATGGTGCCCTCGGGACCGTCGGGAGAACCAGACTGAGACAAGACGATACCGTTGCCAGTCTCCACATCAAAGCTGTACCGTCCGTCCTCTTCGTGGACACGGTCGTCCCTCAGGATGGGCACTACCTCTACACTCTCAGCGGAGCTGGCGCTGTCAGGCCTGGGTGCGGCGACGGTCACGGCGACCAAGGCGGCGAGGATCACCTTAAGATAAATTATTGTTAATGTTTTTATAAAAATATCATCAACGGAATCACTCGTCCATATTTCACCAATAATACACATATTGTGCAATAATACACATTACTTAAACCACCAAAACCTTCTTCTTAAACTACATCATTATGGAGTCAGAGGACACTCCCTACAATACCTCGAGTCCTACCTTACTGACAGGCTCCAATATGTTTCTGTGAATAATACAATTTCTCCCACCCTACCCATCAACATTGGTGTTCCTCAGGGCAGCATACTTGGCCCTCTCCTCTTTCTCATCTACATTAATGACCTTCCAAATGCCTCCCAACACCTCAAACCAATTCTATTTGCTGACGACACAACCTTCATTTACTCCAGTCCTGACCCTCTTGCTCTAAATGCCACAGTAAATACTGAGCTAAATAAAGTCCATCTTTGGCTAACTGCCAACAAACTCACCCTTAACATTGACAAAACCTTCTATATTCTGTTTGGCAATAAATCCTCTAGTCTTATAAATCTCAAAATAAACAATACCCAAATTTGTAACAAATTAGATGGCAAATTCCTTGGCATTCTCATTGACCACAAGCTGAATTTCCAGGGACACATTCTAAATATATCAAAAAAAGTTTCAAAAACTGTGGGCATTCTTTCTAAGATCAGATATTATGTACCACGCCCTGCTCTGGTGACTCTCTATTACTCCCTTATCTATCCTTATCTCAACTATGGTATTTGTGCTTGGGGTTCTACTACCCAAAATCACTTACGTCCTCTAATTACCCAACACAAAGCCGCTATTAGAACAATATCCAACTCTGGCCCCAGACATCACTCGGTACCCCTACTCAAATCTCTTAATATGTTAGATATTAAGTCACTGCACATTCTCTCATGTGTATTATACATATATAAAACGCTAAACTATAATGCCAATCCTGATCTTAAAAGCTTCATAGAAGGTTGTAACAGAACCCATGAGCACCACACCAGAAATAAATACAGTTTTGATATTCCTAGAGTACGTCTTAATCAAACTAGAAATGCTCTGCAAATCAAGGGGCCCAGAATGTGGAATGACCTTCCCAACCATGTTAAAGACTGTACCTCTCTCAACCAGTTTAAGATAAAAACTAAACACTACCTAATAAATTCCCTGTAATCTACCTCACTCCTCTATTGTCAACCCATGTCTGTTATTTTCTTTTTTTTTTTCTTTTTTTTAATCAACACTGTTTGTCAACCTATTGTATTTGTGCTGCTTTTTCAGTCATGTTCCCCTTTTTTTTTATCTTTATTGTATTTGTTCTCAACATCTTTTATTCTTTATGCTCAATTAGTATTAAGTTCTAGATATTAATGTTTTTTCTTGCCCGAAACGCATTGCGTAATAGTGGCTTTAGGCATTGTATGTACTAGCTCTATCTATATATCAATCCATTAATGTAACATCACTTGTATGTATATACCTTACCTGAATAAACATCTGAATCTGAATCTGAATCTGAATCTGAATATAACGTTGCGTCCTGCCAAGCGTATGACGCTCTGGCTAAGCACTATAACACGCTTTTACACTTACGAACTTCATGGTGAGTGGTCTTGGTGGGTACTGGTACCCAAAATCGCGGCGCCCTGACTTTTATAGTGGCAATGTAAAGGTCTTTGCCTGATGGCACCTAGTGCGACTGGCACAGGGTCACCTGAAATTAGCTGTAGACACGCCCTTAACTTTAACTTTTGGTCAGTGTCTATAGCCCCTCTGACCTTTCATACAAGGTTTTCGTATCCCAACTTCTTTTCGTATCTCATTTTCTCTGTAGATATATCGTTATCTCATTTATGCTTTACTGATTAATGTATGAAAAGTGCTCATGTAATTATTGGTATTTTTTCAGTGTTTAACCATACGACATTTTAGTGTAATCATATGGTTACCAGACTGTTATATGATTGATATTACAGCACTTTTGAATACAACTCCCACTGGAGGGAAGGCAAACCATGTTTTGTCATTCTTTCATTGTTCCCAAGCTCTCCTGTATCTTCCTACTGACGTCCACCGCTGTCCTCACGTTCTTTGCATCATCAGCACACATGGAGAGGAACGTGTCTACGGCCTCTGTGAGATTATTCATATCAATCAGAAACAAGTCTGACCCTATTACTATCTCCTGAGGGACTCTGTTGAAAAAAAACTACAATCTTTGGTCTCACATTTTACTTTGAGTCCATGTCTTCTGATTGTTACGGTACTCCTTTCTCCATAGGAGGAAATATTGCCCTTGCTGCCATTTGCTTAATCTTGATCAGTAGTCGCATATGGGGTACTGTGACTAAGGGCTTCTGACAGTCAAAATTAAGCATGTAACCTACTACTCTCTTCATTGCCTGGTTTCTTTCCGACGATTATAAAATATTATCACTTTGTGAGGTATTATTTGCGGCCTCTGGACCCATGTTGGTGTTGCAGTATCAAAGCCTTTTTTTTCTCCAGATGTTCTACTAGCTTCTTTCCTACGAACTTTTCCATTAGCCTTCATAATTAATAAGATTTACTGGTCCGTAGTTCATCATCTATTTGTGCCCATTTTTTTATTAGTGTTACATTGGTTGTCTTCCAACTTTTTGGTTGTCTTATAATTTCAGTGTCTTGTTATAATTTGTAGTAAGAGACCAGGTAAAGACTTTAACCCTCTTCTCTTAGTATCCACGATGAATCTTGTCTTGCGTCTTGTCACACAACCATAGTCGTATAAGGTTTTTTCTAAGTTCATGCCAGGTAATATCAAAGTCTTCCAGTATTATTCGTTTGACACAATCTCTCTCAGAATCTGTGTGATTGTTAGCACCAGTTCCAAGAAGTTGTATTTTTATTATAATTTGAATAGGCATCTGCTGCTCTGCTGTCTCGTTATAACAATGTCGTTGTGGGTGAATGGTAGAAATTCGTTTTTATTAATTGCACGCATTAAACAGTTAACCTCTGGCTGGCTTATGACTAGATGTGGTATCTGTTCTGCAGTTGGCTTAACGTATGGATGTGAATGGGTTCTGTTATTGAAATCATCTGAGTTTTATTTTTTGAACACCTTATGTAGGATTTTCTAGTACATCAGAATATCCAAACTTTTCTTTCCAGGCTTCAACTGTCATTGATGAGTTATGGTTGGAACCTCTGCATGTATATTTAGAGTCACTAGTATTTTAGAGAAGCAGAGCCTTTTCCCGCTGTAATTTCGCAGGTCCATCAGTGTGTACGGTTAGAACGCCTTCTTCTGTCCATCACCAGATGGCGGCTCTAGCCATATACGCCAGAGCATTGGGCCCTTCTCTCTCATGATTCGTCTGCTCTCATCACCTTCAGTCCCCTTAATTAACCCCTTAAAACTGAATTATTTAACGATTCTACTATGCTCAAAATGTGATGTGTTATGAATATTTCCGCGCTTGTTACATCAGTGAGATATCGTACAAAACGGGTATCGTACAAAACCTTTAGTGTCCTTTAATAATTGTAAGTCATTACAATCATAATAAGACACTGGCTTAGCGGCTCGGCTAGGTACTAAATCAGCATTGTCTTTACTTACCAGCATCCGTACTTGTAAACTATAAATATTTGAGACCATTATACACATTAATGATGAAAAAAGGTAATCCAGGCATCTAGAAAATTATAATATAAAAGTGGTTTTACATCGATGTTAAGATTATTTGCTTTCTGTTACTTATTCATGACAAAATCCGATTTTTTTATAATACCTCTATTGTGGGCTATTTGAAAGAGTGAGAGAGAGCATAGCTGGTAAAACGACTCATTACATATATTAGTTTTTGTGTGTGTTTGTCGGTGACGTGATGTCGACCTTCACACATAGTTAAGTGGATCAGGTGTTCTACCAAGGCGTTGCCTAAATGTCAAGTGTACCAGTGAGCCTACCATCCCCCGCCAACGAGGGTCAAGGGACTAAACAAAAAGTCAAATGACTTGGTTGGAGTCGTACAGTCACAGGGCGTGGTGGGCGTCCGGTCAAACTTAGAAAAAAACGTTTTTGATTGGACTGACGAAGTCAAACTACAGGCTTGAGCTTCGAGCCTTGTACAACACTGAATCAATGCATAATGCTTGGCCAGTTAATTGAAACGACGTTTACTGTAAATTCTGAATGAAAGGACAATGTTTGGGACAAATTTGACCTTGAGTTCTTGGGACTAGTCAGGGCACCGTGGTGGAACGTTCCTTCTTCCACTACTGGGGGAGGTGTTATCCAGCAGCTCACTTAATAACCCCAAATATGCAAAACTAAAAATACTATACTTGCATATATTTTGTTATATATTTACATGCAAAGCATGCTACAGAAATACAATAAAACTAAATACAACGAAGAAGCACAAAAACAGCACATAAAGCAAAGAAAAGACCAACATGGTACATAAAATGGCTAACAGCAAGGCAAACAAACAAGGCCAAACGGGCCACAAAATAGATAAACAAATGCTAATATAGAAACATTGTACAAATACATTCACATACAGAAAGACATATACCGACACATGGACATATACAGAAACAAGGCACAGAGACACAGACAAGGACAACACGGCCAAACGACCCACAAAACAGGCAAATAAACACTCATATAGAAACAGTGTACAAATACATATACAGAAATACATATACCGACACATAGACATAAACAAGGCACAGAAACATGGACAGAGACACAAACAGGGGACAACACAAGGAGCCTACGCATATTTATGCAGAAACTCCCGCACCGGAAAACGTAAGCAGAACGCTTCCCAGGCAAGCAGGTCATCGGAAATACGGCCCCCCAGCGGCACCCGAGGCCGAGGCATCAAATCAGGTACCTCATACACAAAGACCTTCGCACTCGGCACCCATATAGTCGATGTGCACCAAGGGACCGGCCGCACTCGTACCCACCGTAGAGAGCTCAAAACACTGACCCTCAACCAGCACCTCCCCCGCCGCCGAGACATATTCTCCCTGGGACACCTCGGTGGGGGGAACCACAGGGGACACAGGCACATCGGGTTTCTGGCCACCGGGCACAGAAGCCGAGGCCCCCAGGGAAACATCCTTCCTCAAGACCATCACAAGGTCCCGATCCGCAGCATCCACATCAGGGGGAGGTACAATCCCCCACAGTGGGGAGCCCACAGCAGGAAACGCAGGGAGGAGGGGGCAGGATCCAACTCGGAGCCCCCCACACCATCATCATCATCTGCCACGTGTACCTCCGCCACCACCATAGATAAAGCCACACCACCAACACCACAGGCCACCACGTCCCCTCCCCAGGAGACGACTCACAACTCTGAAGCTACCCCACATCCACCCAGGCTTTGTCCGCCAAAGCCAAAAAAAGGGAGGAGACCCACGAGCGCTTCGGTTCCGGGCGTGCATCATCCGAGCTGTCCACCATTCTTGAAGCCTAGACGCGAGATACTGGTAGGCCGGACCTGGGCATAACGCAGGACCTCCGCAGCAGTGACGACATGGGGGGACCATCTCAACTCCAGCAAGAGGCCCGGAAAGTACACCCACCAATAACATGGGCGGAGAGGGTAGACGGCGCGCAGAAACAAGGGCCACAGGAGCACCAGACGAGATATCCACAGAAGGCTGAGGCGGAGACAAGGGCCCCCGACAGGACCACCCCCACACCAACAGCCGCCGAACACACATTTGGCAACTGCACAGCAACCTGTGTGCGAACCATGTCAGGAGCAAGATCGCTAACCGACACCTGTCGAGATTCGACATCCCCTGGCTCTTGCTCAGCCCCATGCAACAGACCCTCATTGTCAGTTAGCGACAGGAAATCCTCACGAAACAGGATTCACATGCTCAACGACATCCGCCGAGCATCCAGCGACCAGGTGGCCCGACAGCCCACAGCGGAAACATGTGCGCGGCTGCCATGCATAGTAGATGCGGATGTAACAGCCCATTAGTCTCACCGAGGAAGGGATGTCCGACAGCAGTCGCATCCCCAGGGTGCGAATACTAGTCCGGACGCCCCCGGAGTTTCCCGGAGGAAATCAAATTTAACCTCACTCTCTCGACAGCACCATATTGCCCGAAGTATCTCCTCAGCAGTTCCTCCGGGAACTCAAGTGGAGCATCATGAACGGTGACGAAGATGAGGGCACTTCTCCGGTCGGATATAACCACCGTACTAGCAGCGTCCGTCAGTTGAAATGACCGCCCCTCGTAACGGCGTAAAAACACCCTGTAGTCGTCCGCGTCAGCAAAATTCCCTACAGCCCAATGAGAAGACATTAACTTCACTCTATATATCGCAGCCACATCAGCACGCAACATCTCACACATCACCAGCTCTACTGCAGGGTAGACAGCCTTTCTGGTAAACTCCAGGTCCACCGAATGAGCCCGTAAAACGAGAGGGGGGGGGGAAGGGAAGGGAAGGGAACTATCAGGGGGAGAGCGACAAGTCATTACGACTATATAGCACTGGGATGGGGTCAGGATAAGGATTTTGGGCTGAGACGGGGGGGGGGGGGGAAGGAATGGTGCCCAACCACTTGGACGGTCGGGAATTGAACGCCGACCTGCATGAAGCGAGACCGTCG